TAGGGAACTCCCTGTTGCAGCTTACAGCTGTAATAATCCGTCTCGCAGACAAACTCTGCACGGAGATAAGCGGCTTAAATAGGTGTCAGAAATTTGCGACGACTATTCAGTATCGATGCTCTTCGGTAGACACACCGGATTGGAATGAAGAGGAACCGCGGCACGCGTATCATTGCCGATAAGCGGCTCTCTCTCTCTAAACTATACTCTACTCTCTCGCGCTCGCACTCCGGGCGTATACACGCCCGGATGAGTCATCGCTCGCTGTACATAAGAAGTCGTTCACGACTCCTTAATCCGCGAACGCTAACAATAATAATTTTACGGACGGTTTAATTCGAAATTCTCGCGAACATGTAATTATGTAATAATTGTCGAGGAATTTAGCTGACCGCTAATTCCTTCGAACGAACATCTCCTACTATGCATTACGTGCGGAGGCGCATGTTACACATGCGAATCCCTCCGACTTACGCGTATTTTTAACAATTGGTGCTGGGTTGAATTTATAATAAACAGGGGTTCTTTTTGTTTAAAAACCTTGCATCATTTATTAAAACAACCGTTTCTCCTCCGGACTCCCAGTTAGGGCCACCTATCCCTAACACCAGCTGTAAATCGTATGCGCAGCACCAGATCTTCGAGTGTATTTACTGGTGTGGAATACATCAGCGTCTTAAAATGACCCTAAAAAAAAAATCTAAGGTGTTCAAGTCTGGAGATCGCGCAGGCCATGGTATAGGTCCTCTTCTTCCAATCCACTTCTCCCCAAAAGTGGAATTCAGATGATTAGTCACAGCAGTTGTTGAATGTGGCGGTGCTCCGTCATGCATGTACCACATGTCTCGTCGCGTCGACAGTGGTACGTCTGCTAAGAGTTCCGGTAACTCATTTTGCAGAAAATCCAAATAATATTGGTCTGTTAGACGATTCGGTAGAATAAGAGGACCAATAAGAGTCTCATTGACAATTCCTGCCCATACGTTGCAGGAAAATTGTCGTTGAGAATGCCTCTCCACTATTGCGTGTGGATTTTCAATTGACCAGACGTGTTCATTATGCAGATTCAACACACCACTCCTGTCAAAACCTGCTTCGTCGGTGAAGAGGATTTGGGATATAAAATTTTCATTTTCGCGCAATTTCTGCAGCATCCAGCTACAGAAATTTCTTCGGCGCTCTGGGTCACCCTCTTCTAATTGTTGCACCCGCTGGTAATGGTACGGATGCATCTGCTGATCCTTTAACGTCCTCCATACGGTTGTATGGCTCACGCCTTCCATGGTCGCAATTTGTCGCGTGCTCATCGTCGGATCCTCTTCAATGTGGCTCAGAATTCGTTCTTCTAAATCCGAATTCTATTGGGAACGACCTCCTGATCGAGATCGCATCAGCATGCCGGTACTGCGCGCTCTTTGATGCACGCGAAGGAAAGTTTTCCTATCCGGCAGACTCCGATGAGGAAATCTTTCAGCATAAATTTCGCGTGCTCTAATCGTGCTGCAGCGCGCTTCTCCGTAAATAAGGTGTATGTTCGCGAGTTCAATCGTTGAAAATTCGTTCGGCATCCTTCCTCTTCTCTGTTGCTTCTCTCTTTTCTCTTCTCTCTTCTGTCTTCTCTTTTCTGTCTTCTCTCTTGCTTTCCCCTGAAAAAAATCACACAAACACACACACACACGCACAAGACACGAAACACTAATTGTAAGCGCACAATAATTTCGAAGTCTTTTAATCCTTTACGCGACGCACTTGCCACAGGATAACGGCTACGAACTGATTGTTGGGAAGTTAACAAAAGAACGCATGGTTCCCGCAGGAGTGTAATGTGAAATACGTCTACACTATTAATGCGTAATATGTCGCGACCATTTGATATTTATTTTACATTATTATTTTAAAACGCATGTTTGAGAAATGAACAGGGAAATTAATAGAATGTAAAAAATTGTGTTGAGAAAACTGAAAATGTAAAATGTAAACTATTGAAATCATACATTATTTCTTTTCATGATCCGACACTGCGGTTAGGCATCGATAGTATTTTTTTTCCGATCGCCGTGGAATTGGAATCATCGAAGAGCAGTCGTGAAGGAACCGTCGCGTGTTACGTGTCGCGGAATGTCGCGTGGATAGTACATCGTGATAC